AAGGGCTATACTTCTCATTGAAATCTTATTTGCATTCATTTCCTGAATTCTGAAGGGAACTATTTATTACATGACTTTCACTTCAGTTCCTACTGTCTTCCTGATCACCAAATATTAGTAGATACTGAAATAAAATCTGACAATAAACAGAAAGAAACTAAAAGAAAGTATGTGTTAAAGGAAAATGATACCCTCAGGTCAAACAAGCCTATGCAGTAAAGAAAGCTCAGAAGCTACTTACTGGGGCATAGTCAGTGGGGAGGAGAGGCCAGCTAGGTGCTTGGTATAATACAGGAGGTGGTAGCATTTAAGTGAGGTACAGAAGCTGTAATTATGGGAAAGAAACTGAAAGACCTTCAACCATTAGCAATCTAAGGACCCTTTTCTTCTTGTGAGAGAAAACTGTTTCAAATATGAGCCTACAGTATGCTTTTCAAAAACAAGATACTGAGACTATTTCTAACAAGCATACTGTGTGTGACAAAGAGAATAAGTTTTCAAAACTTACAGATATCAAGGGGGAAGGCATTAAGCCAGGCCAAAAATGGACTGCAGGTTCACCTGATTTAGCCTTGAGGGGTCTCACAGCAAGAGGAGCAAGCTGAGTTCCAGTGCCCTAATAAACCATCCAAGGTCTCAAATCCAGCTAGGGAGACTTAGGCTACTATAGTTTGAAAACTCCTCTTTGAAGGGAGCACAGATTTTGAATTTAGTGCACAGGCTATTTTATGTCAACTTGGCCTGAACTAGAATCATTTGAGAAGAGGGAACCTCAATTGAGAAAAACGACTCCATTAGATTGGCCTGTAGGCAAGCCTGTGGGGCATTTTCTTAATTAGTGATTGATGTGGGAGGCCCCAACTCACTATGGGCGGTACCACCCCCTGGGCAGGTGGTCCTAGGTGCTAAAAACAGGCTGAGCAAGCTATGGGGGAGCAAATCCACATGCTGGATTCCTCCATGGTGCCTGTTTCAGTTCCTGCTTCCAGGTCCCTGCTTGAGTTCTTGTCCTGACTTCCTGTCATGATGGTGTGTAAGTTGTAAGATGAAAGGAACCTTTTCCTCCCCAAGTTGTTTATGGTCACTCTGTTTTAGCACAGCAACAGACACCCTCACATTCAAAGGCTGGCTTTACCACTAACTATGGGCCCATGGACATGGCTTGTTTTCGTGTGTGTGTGTGTGTGTGTGTGTGTGTGTGTGCGTGTGTGTATGTGATGTTTTCATCTATGATATGTGTGTGTATTGTTGAGAGAATAAACATGTCAACAGGTCTGAGGCTGTCTGTGATGATTGGTGCAATAAAGATATTAATGTGTCTGAGCATGGTCAAGGCCCTGAGCAGTTATGTAATAAATGGTGCTAACATTACATTTTCTCCATAAAATCTGAAAAGATCTGACTTTGTAAACACATGGTCTCAAGGAATTAGGATAAAGAATTGTTGTCCCCAGAACAGATTATCTTATCTAAGCTTTAGTGAAACCATACTTGGTTAAGAGCTAGTTCCAGGACAGGCTCCAAAGTTACAGAGAAACCCCCGTCTCAAAATAAATAAATAAATAAGTATTAAAAAATTAAGGTGTTCTAAGGAGCCTCATCATTAGTTGAGATCTTGCCCTAGGAACCATTGGTATAAAATAGACTGAAAAGATGTAGGGCAGGTGTAGCTTTGTAGAACTTTAAGCTGAGGCCTTTCAGCAGTAGTGTCCCCCCTCCCCTGGGAACCAAGGACCTAACAACTACACATGCACATACTAAAAATGTTGGGAACTTTCCATCTCCCTGAGTCCTTGTGAGTGTTCTCCAAACAGAGCTCTGTTCCTGAAATTGGGACAAGATAACTCACAGATGTCCACAGATGTTTTGACTCAGTCCCTGGGAAAGGGGCAAGTGACCCTCAAATGTTTCCTCTTACATCATCTGACAATCACTCTCCAGCCAATTATTGGTAATAGTCCTTTGAATAAGCCAATCATAATAGTTGAAGAACTCCCCAGACTCCCCCCATTGTTTCTGTGGCTTTTTACTTTAAAAGCAGCCTGTACCAGCCATTCGGGGTCTTTCTGGATTCTCAAATGCTGAAAGACCTTGTCATGACAGAATTAATAAAATCTTCATGCTTTTACATTAACTGTGGTGTGAGAGATGGTCTCTTGGGGCGACTCCTCCTGGTAGTTGGACTTCAGGGTTCACAGCTTAATGAGTAGGGTGGTTTTAAAAATTACTTTGTGTTTGAGATTGTGTGGCTGCCATGTGGAAATGTGGAAGTCAGAGGACAAAACGCAGTCATTCTTTCTGTACATCAGGAAAATCGTGTCTTGGGAGCAAAGACCTTTATCTGCTAAAGCATCTGACATGCTGAATTAGTTTTACAAAAATAGTTTCAAAATTTATAACTGTATCATCACTGAAGAAAGTCAGGACAAAAAAAAATTTATAACTGTAGAGTGACAATATAACAACAGAATGTACAGAAAATATAACAGAATGTACAGACATATTACCACATATATACAGTCTCAACACTTATGTAAACACAATATTTGTATATATAAGTCTCAACATGAACATACACAGAGTTTGAGGCTAGAAGGATGCTTGAGAATAAATTTTTGAACGTGTGGTTTTGATGGCTATTTTTGGTTGTCAATTTGACAATATCTGTAATAAACTGCAATCCAGAAATGGAGGGCACAGTTGTTATCTGGCTCTTAAAGCAGCAAGACAACAAGCCTTTGACTCAATCTTGAGGCTGGAAGACATGGGCCTTTGATCCTGATATCGAGGTGGAAGGCACATGTCTTTAATCTGGTTCTTGAGGTGGGGAGGCACACCTTTAATCTGGGCCATACCTTCTGCAGGAAGCCTATCTAAAGACGATGGCAGGAAGCCTTTGTGCGTTCTTCACCTGCTTGTTCTCACCTTGTCGGCCTATCCATTCCTTCACTGGCATTGGAGCCTCTTTCCTTGGGATTCCAGCATTTACAGAGAACCAGCTGAGACACCCAACCTCATGGGACTGAGAAAGTACTAGATTGTAGAACTTTCCAGGCACAGCTAGCCATTGGACTGCAGCCTGTAAGTCATATATATACTCTCCATGTAGAGAGAATTCTTCCATAATTTCTGTGACTCCAGAGAATCCTAATAGAGATTTTGGTACCAAATGTGGGGTTATTTATCTGTGAGAGACCTGACCACTTTAGGGAGTAATGTGGAAAGATTTTAGAACGTTAGGCTAGAAGAACCATTGAGTGTGAAGTGGGATGTTCTTTAGGAGCTTGGAAGATAAAGAATGTTGAGAGCAGTGTAGAGGATGGAGGCCTGGCTTGCAAAGTTTCAGTGGGAAGTTTAAAGACTCTATCAGGGCCATTTGCTATTTTGAATTAAAATTCTATGGTTCTGGTTAGCTGGGGCTGAAGAATCAGCTGTGATACCAGAACTACTGAAGCAAAACTTGGCTTTGCTGGAATACTCGATGTTGGCCAGCTGGAGCGGAGAAATTAGCAGTAATTAGGAAGAGACAAACATCAAGGTGGAATCTTCTGGGAAGTGTTTCCTGAGAATGCAGAGAAGCCGTGTTCCAGAAGCAGCCAAGCTTGTACCTTGTGTTGGCAGCAGCACTTGGTAATGTACAAGCATCACCCAGGTGGTGCTGGTTTTGAAGGCATGAAGGGGTCATGAGGAGCAGCTGAGGCTTGGCACTGTGAGAGGACAGGAAAGGTCACTGGTGAAGGTGCAGCTTCAGTAGCAGTTGAAGGCCCAGGACTGAAGGGCTCAGGCAAAAGAAATTGAGGGCTGGCCCCACGAAAAGAGCATATGAGAGGCTACTGGTGAAAGTGCAGCCCAGCTGCAGCAAGGAACCCCAGTATTTGGGAGAGCCAGTACCAAGGAAAGACCAGTAAGAACAGCAGCAGTGTGTGGGGGGTCAGCAGGAGCCTAGAAGACAAGCTGTGTGTGCTGCAAAGGGCAGAGCCCGAGAAGTGACCCAAGACCTGTGAAGGAGTCTAGATCAGGAGTGAATCCCAGATAACTGGACATTGAACTATTTATACCACTGGAGCTTGGTTTTGCTTAGTTCAGATTGTGACTGTGCCCTGATTTTTCCCTCTTGCATGAACATATTTTACTGGAGCCCACAGTTGAGAGACTTTGAATTTTAAAAGACTCTGAAGTTTTAAAAAAGATTGGATATTTTAAAGGGATGAAATTTTAATGTATTTGAATTTGTAAAGACTGTGGGACTTTGAAAGTTATTTGTCTTGTTTATGTGAGACCTTGGGGGTGAATAAGAAAGGAAGGGTTGTTGCTTAATAGTGATGTGCTTGTGTGTCAAGTCTGACAAGGGATCAGTTGTACTGGCTGGCTTTGTGTGTCAACTCCACACAAGCTTGAGTCATCAAAGAGGAAGAAGCTTCAATTCAAGAAGTGCCGTCAATGAGTAAGGCACGTCTCACTTAGTGATCAGTGGGGGAGGGCCCAGCCCCTGTGGGTGGTGCTATCCCTGGGCTGGTGGCCCTGGGTTCTATATAAAAGCAGGCTGAGCAAGCCATAGGCAGCAAGTCAGTATGGAGGACACTTCCATGGCCTCTGCATCCAGCTCCTGCCTGCAGGATCCTGCTCTGTTTGAGTTCTTGTCCTGACTTCCTTCAGTGATAAACAGCAATGTGGAAATGCAGACCAAATAAACCCTTTCTTCCCCATCTTGCTTTCTGGTCATGGTGTTTTATGGCAGCAATAGAAACCCTAATTAAGACAATGGTATGTAGAAAAACATTTGCTTAAATTACCAGCGTTAGGGTCAGGGTTCTGATGATTTAGAACTCTATACTCAGGTATTGAAGTACCCAGATTTAATCTTATGTTAAAGTACTCCAGAAAAATGCTAATGCGTCACAGAGAGAATAGGAATTTCCTTCAAACCTTCCACTCTGATTTTCAAAACATGGAAATCTATTAGGGCTGATATTACCCTAAAGCAACTGAAAACACAAAGCTAAAACCCAAATAGGTTTTAATGATTAAGATACATAAATTAATAAGCATATAAGTTTTAACTAAAAAAAGACCTAGAATCAAGAATGAAGATTTAAAACTTGGATGCAAATCTACCATAAAACCTAAAAAACTACCAAAATATCTAAATTTTTTAGCATATACTTTAGGTCTTTTTTATGTCCAATTCTTGGTAATCAAAATATGTACACTTTCACATGTTCCCGATTATGCAGGAATAAATTTATATTGATATAGTATTACAAACAGGTTTCACAGATGGCACAGCACAAAATAAACCAGTGATCTATCTTTTGGGGCCCTTTTTGGGGATCAGGGGAAGACTCCCAAAGACTCCTTGGTAACAACTTTATTGGTTTAATTGCCTACAAAGACCTTCATAACTTGATTCACTCACTCATTTTATCACCCAGGGAAGCAAGGGAGTTTCCACTTTTCACAACTAATTTTCCACACAACTTTTTTAGACAACGATAAAGAGTGTATAGTGACTTTGAACATACCTGGACTTTCCCAAATTACATTTGCTTACTCACTGAGGTTTGACTTGTAGAACTGAAGGGTAACTCTAGGAGATGGGGACACAAGACTTTCTGAATTATTTAAAGCTTTCTATCAGTTGTTCCTAGTTCCCTTGCATTAATTCACTTGGTCCTTCAGAACATTTATGATTTGTCCAGTCAACTCACCTAAAAGGTTAGGTTTAGACAGACCAACAAATCTCTGAGGGTACAAAACCAAGAGTAATTGTTAAGTCAGTTTTCCACAGGCACTGTCCACTATTCATAGGATCTTTAGAAACTATTTGCACAAGGCCAAGGAAAAATTGTTTTCTCACTATATCTGACCCACACTGGAGCCATACTAAAACTGCACTTCGGTAGCTAGTCTCAGGTTTGGGCATCCAAGTGTCTCTAATTTTACTGCATCCACAGAATATGCAACTTTTGATGCTGAATTAGAGACAGCTGACAATGAAAGGCTTCACCACAAGCATCACACTCGTAGACTTCCTGGGCTCTCACCTCTCTGTGGATCTTCTGGTGGTTGGCGAGGCTGCGCTGTTGACTAAAGCTTTTGTCACACTGCTCACACCTGTAAGGTTTCTCTCCTGTGTGGATTCTCTGGTGCTGAATGAGACCCGAGTTCCTGCTGAAGGCTTTCCCACATTCCTCACATTTGTGGGGTTTATTACCGGTGTGAACACCCTGATGTCGGATAAGATTACAAAGCTGACTGAAACTTTTGCCACACTGCCTGCACAAGTAAGGCCTCTCACCAGTGTGGATTCTCTGATGCTCGATGAGGAACGAGCTCCGGCTAAAGCTTTTCCCACAGACAGTGCACAGGTAGGGCTTCTCACCCGTGTGGATCCTCTGATGCTGTACCAGATGTGCGCTGACACTGAAGGTTTTCCCACACTCCTCACATTTGTAAGACTTTTCCTTGGGGTAGGCGTCCTGCTGTGCATCAAGACTGCCGGTTGGATCAAAACTTTCCTTAGCCTCACTGTATGGAGAAGTCTTTTCCCTGATATGTATTCTCTGATGCTGAATTAGTCCTGAGCTTCTGCTGAAGGCTTTTCCACATTCCGCACACTTGTGGGGTTTATCTCCTGTGTGGATTCTCTGATGACGAGTAAGGTTGCAAAGCTGACTGAAGCTCTTCCCGCACTCTTTGCATTGGTAAGGACGCTCACCAGTATGGATTCTCTGATGTTCAATAAGAAATGAGCTCCGACTGAAACTTTTCCCACATTCAATACAAAGAAAAGGCTTCTCCCCAGTGTGTATTTTTTGGTGTTGTATAAGGTATGTACTTAATCTAAAAGCTTTCCCGCAGTCAGCACACTTATGAGGCCGTTCTCCAGTATGGATTCTCTGGTGTTCCACGAGCAGTGAGTTCCGGCTGAAACTTTTTTTGCATTTGGTACAGTGATAGGGTTTCTCACCAGTGTGTGTTCGCTGGTGCTCAATAAGGTGTGATTTCCAACTGAAAGCTTTTCCACAGTCATTGCATTTATGGGGTTTCTCGCCTGTGTGGATCCTCTGATGTTTAACAAGGCTCCTTCTCTGGCTGAAGCTCTGTTTACACTGACTACACTGGTAAGGCCTCTCTCCGGTGTGGATTCTCTGGTGTCTGATAAGAGTGGAGCTGACGCTAAAGGTTTTCCCACAGTAACTGCATTCATAGGGCCTTTCCCCCGTGTGGATTCTCTGGTGTTCGATAACAAAGGAACTCCGGCTGAAGCTCTTCCCACACTCGGTGCACTGGAAAGGCTTCTCACCAGTATGGACCCTCTGATGCTGAATGAAATGCGCCTTGCGGACAAAACCCTTTCCACACTCTTCACATTTATGACACTTCTCTTCCGAGTTTGGTCTCTTTCGAACATTAGCGTGTCCTCTGCACTTTTTCTGTTCCTGGGTCAGAGATTCACGTGGTATTTCCCATAAGAAGATCCCTCTTTGTTTATCTAGCTTACCAACAAGTTCAAACGTTTCTCTACCTATAGGATCCTGGTCAATTTCACTTTTGATTCTTGTTACTATTACACCTGGTGGTTCTATGCCTTCCTCAATTTCTTCTTTCACAGTTGGCTCTTCACCTTTATTTCTGTTTAAAACATCTGAAATATTTATAAATAAAAAATATAATTATCAGGCAAGCTCTTTCATGGCAAAGAGAAATTATTAGAAAAACAAGGTCACAAAGATAAACCAACCTACTAATTAGTAAACATACTAATTAATGTGTGTTTTCTTTTATCTTTTACTATTTCCATTTTTGTTTTTTTGTTTGTTTGTTTTTCATCTGTTTGTTTTTTGAAACAGGTTTCTCTGTGTAACAGCCCTAGCTGTCCTAGAACTAGCTCTGTATACCAGGCTGACCTCAAACTCACAGAAATCCACCTGCCTTTGTTTCCCACTTGATTAAAGGCTTGCCACTACCCAGTCCACTACTTCAGTTTTAAAATTAATTCATAATACATATTTATCAGATAATCTTACAAAGAGGCAAGATATATTGTCTAGACTGGCCTTGAAATCCTGGGCACATGAGATTCTATTTCAGCATTCTTTGTAGATGGGAGTAGAGATGTGTGTCACTATTCTTGGTTTAGTATTAGTTAACATTAGTTATCTGATTTATTTACTGTTGTTTAGTTTTTAAAGCAGTGTGACTATCAAAGAAAGAATACCATGGCAAGAAAATAGTAAGTTCAGGAAACTTAGGATGGGAAAGCATTATTGGGATATGAGTAGACAAATAGTTGAGAGAAAAGAACACATAAGAGGAACCTAGGAGGATGAAAGACAAAGAGCCTGAGATTCTACAGTTTATTAACCAGAATTTCCCGACTATCTAAAGCACACTAAATATTAAGTTCTGAGCTAGGATTCAAAGGTCAGACACAAAATACTGCCAAATGAAATGACGTTAAGTGAAACTGGAGAGAAAATACTAATAATGATTACAAGTTAAGTAAATAGCAGCACCTAGAATAAAGAATTGGGATATCTATTCATAAGAATGAAATAAACTATATTCATAGTTGGTGGAAAAAAATGAAAAATGTAGTCTATTTACTAGGTGCTAGTAAATACTATAGAAAAGTGAAAGATGGATCTTTAGAGTAGTAGCAAAAAATAAACTTAGGAAAAAATGTAATTAAAAAGGTACAAGATTAGAAAAAGGGATAGCAGCATACTCCTATAATCCTAACACCCAAAGACACTGAAGCAGGAAAACTACTGTAGTTTGAGGCTACCTGTACTGATGAGATTATATGTCATGCCTCTATGTCTTCCCATCCTGTGCTCACAATTAAATTATCTCCCACAGGCAAGCTGACTCAAAGTGGGCCTCTCTAGAAACCCAGAAACGGAAAAGCTAGTTAAAATGAATGCAACTAGAATTGCAACCTGCGAAAACAGCGGTTAAAAAGAACAGAAACACGTGGACAGAGGAAGAAAGACTAGTTGGCCAAGGAAAAGATACAGAAAAAAGTTATATGGACTGAATGTTGTACCCTCTCTGTTGCAATCCTAAACCCCACTGTGTTAATGTGTTAAGATTGGGAAGAGGGGGGCTGGAGAGATGGCTCAGTGGTTAAGAGCACTGTCTGCTCTTCCAGAGGTCCTGAGTTCAATTCCCAGCAACCACATGGTGGCTCCAAACCATCTGTAAAGAGATCTGGCGCCCTCCTCTGGTGTGTGGGTATAAATGGAGGCAGAAAGTTGTATACATAATAAATAAATCTTAAAAAAAAAAGATTTGGAAGAGGGTTTTCTCTCTCTCTCATATGAAAATATAATCTTTATTTATAGAAATAAAAGTGAATGTAATCTTAGTACCAAGGTACACACACAAAGACAAAAAAATTACTGTGATGATTTTGGAATCTGCCCACAATGTAAACACCAAAACCATTATTAGAACATATACTAATGTAAATGTGGCCTATAAACAATATTATGCACTTTGAAGTCTTAAATTTTTATGTATTTATTTTTTAATTTCATTTATATTCCACCACAGTTCTCCTTCCCATCTCCACCACTCCTGCCCCCTACACATCCCTGCCAGCTCACCTCCTGTCCACTCCTCCCAGAGGGTAAGGCCTCTCATGGGGAGGCAACAAAGCCTGGCAGATTAAGTTGAGGTAGAACCAAACCCCTCTCCCTGCATTAAGGCAGAGTATGGCATCCTACCATAGGGAATTGGCTCTGAAAAGCTAGTTCATGCACCAGGGATAGATCTTGGTCCCACTGCCAGCGACCAGAAGGGGGTTCTCGTAAAAAAGACAGGTTTAGATGAGATCAGGGAGTGGGGTCTTCAGAACAGAATACAGGGTCCTTGTGAGAACAAAGACACACATCCTCCTCCCCATGTCACATGAGGACAAAGAAGGCAGTCATTTTCGCTGAAGAGGATCTCTATAAAGAATTCAGTTTATCAGCACCTTGAGCTTGGATTTCCTAGTCTATAGAACTAGATAAATAGAGGCTGGAGAGATGGCTCAGTGGTTAAGAGCACTGACATCTCTTCCAGAGGACCCAGGTTCAAATCCCATCACTCACATGGTAGCTCACAACTGTCTGTAGCTCTAGTTCCAGGGAATCTGACACTCATGGCAAAACACCTATACACATGAAAATAAAAAACAAAAATTAAGAAGAGAAAAATTGCTTAGGTTGTGTGTGATGAAGGGCATACAGATTAGCATGAAACAGCTCTCATTAAAAAGAGAGAAACCCTGTCTCGAAAACAAAAAACAAAAAACAAAAAAGAGAAAAGAAAGAAAAAAGATAGATAAATAACAGTGTTTATACTATCCAGGCTACAATTCCTTAACTTTTTGAGACTGAGTCAACTTCTCTTTTCAGTATTATTCTGATCAGCTATAATGATGCCTATATATTCTATCATAGATGTGGCCCTGTTGAAAGAAGTTTCTTCCTGGATTGGACTAGCATTAAATAAGGCTAATGATATGATAGCTGCGAAGATATCTGCTGAGCGTAACATGAAAGTACATCAACTTTAGACCTGTAGTTGTGACAGTATTTTAGTAAAGGACCAGACACTCCAGCTAAATGGTTCCTGCCACTGCAGCTCAGAAGTATTATAGATATTACATCAAGGAATGGTTCGTCTCTTTAAATAAAAATTGCTTTATGAAAACAGGCTGTGGGACAGATTTGATCTGTTGGCCACAGTTGATAACTTTACTATCTAAAGAAATTATAAAATGGTCAGTTTTCTCGGTTAACAAAATGGGAGAATGGGGAAGGACTGGAATTCGTAGGCGTAGTGCAGCATTTAGTAACTGTTAACTGAATGAATACATTAACTGGGGAGAGAACAGGGCCAGAGGGGGAAAACACGGTCAGAGTTCAAGGTTTTGTAGGCTCAATGCTTCTCAGTTCTGACAAGATCCACTGAGTCAATAGCTATCAGCTGTATCATCAATGTAGTTACTAAGATTTTAAAGAAAAACCAACGTGAAAAAGTTGATGTAAAAGGGGGAAAGCGCTGTTTGGGAAGACAGATGGGACGGAGGAGAACACTGCATTGGACCAGCAGCATCACAGCGGTCTCTGGGTAAGGGAGCACTGGTCAAGGGAACGGAAGTGGGGTCTGTTGAAGAGCATGAACAGACAGTGGCAGGAGAAACTATGAACAGTGAAATATTTAAGATTAAATAAAGAAGAAAGCCTGCAAGCATAAGATCACCAAAGGACTCGCTGCTCTACCTTTGCCAGTGTGTGTATTTCCATATATGAGAACAGAGCACTGCCCTGTTCTGTCAGCCAGGTACCCTTCTGATACCCTCCATGGAGCTCAGCTAGCAGTGAGCCAGGCACACCATGGCATACGGCGGCGGGTGCCATCTAGAGGCTGAATTTGTGAAGCTCTAGTGTGGCAGAACCATTAGCAGTTTTAAACATACAAAATCACCTTGGCGGTCAGCACCTACTTTAGCACGAGGCAATAATTACCTAAGAGAGAGAGTTTTTAAATTAACATGTAACTTACTCAGAAACATGACCATTCACGCTCGGCTTTATAGTAGGCACTGAAGGCATCCATTGAGAAAGAGAGTGCTGTCCTCAATGCTGGCCAGTGTAATGAGAACTGACATAGAGAAAGATTTGCAGATGGACAGAGGTGGAAGGCAAGGCAGTAAAGAGGGGTACTAAACTGGGCAGAGAAGATCCCCCAGATCTCAACGGATTGTCTGAAACATGTCAGACATAACCTACATTGTTTCCAAAAGAAGAAAACTGTCGATCTGGAGTTCAACAGAGGTGACAAAAAAAAAAAAAAAAAAAAAAAAAATCAATCAATACTTTCACTATTTTTATTAGCTGCTAGTCAGCATTTGAAGTACTTTACCAATATACTAGCCCAGTAATAGAAACATGTCATTACCATTTCTGTTTTGTGAAGAAAAATAAAATGATTTCCCCCACAGTCAAATCTGGCAATGGAAGAGCTAGGATTTCCATACGAGGTAGTCAGATGCCACACAACATTTCTTAGGTGAGATTTAGCATCCCATATCAGCAGCTAATGGCCTAGCACAGGTTAGGTCCTCCGAGCAAAGGGCGGAGTTAGGAAGGAACACAAGCAAACAAGGAGAAGCACTAAAGAGTTTCAAGCAAACCATGTGTAGTGTGGTAAGCCTGAAATCCCAGCAATTTGGGTGGTCGAAGCAGGAAGATTGAGAATTTGAAGCCAGCCTGCGCTATGAAGCAAAACCTGTCTCAAAACAAAACAATAAAGAAGTCATAAAGACTCAAAAAGGGCTAAAATAAGGTACAAAGAATCTCCTGTATCTGGCAATGAGGTTGTTAATAAATCCCTGGAGAACAACTTAAGGGGACTGAGGAGCCAAGACAAAATTCAGATATCAAAAGATAAAAATGTGCAATATATACATGAATTTATAAAACCCTGGTGGGAAAAGACACATTAAATCACTGGGAACAACAAGAAGAAACCACTGGTTCACTTAAACTTCTTTTTCCCCAAACTGGGCAGACCATGATGTAAGCCTATCATAAGAACAGAGGTTACGAAGGGCAACATGCTGGGGATGCACCTCACTGGCAGAAAGGCTGCTTAGCATAATCAAGGCCCTAGGCTTGACCCCCAGAAACATCCTCCCAATTTCTTTAAGTAGCAACGAACCAAGAACTGAGACTACCGCTCAGTTTCTAGTGAAAAGATGGAAGCTGTTTTAAGGGTGTGTAGACGAGGGGCACAGGAGCTAAGAATTCATGTCACTGAACTCTATTTTGCCTGTGAAATAGAAGGTGAAGCCCACAGAGTGATGGGGAAATTTTAGGTTTTGAAATTGCAACTAAAATTAATAGGAAAAGAAGCTTATCACATACAAAAAAAGTTGTTGCGATATAAACCCAATGTAAATTAGGAGACACACATACACACTATGGTGGGTGTGATGTTGCATGCCTTTAATCCCTTAGAAATTCCCAGCACATAGGAAGCAGAGGTGGGTGGAGCTCCGTGACCTCCAGGCCAGCCTTGTCTATAAAGTGAGTTCCAGATCAACAGAGCTACACAGTGAGGTCCTGTCTCAAAACAAACACGCCCCCTCACTAGATACTTATAGGACACGGATTCTTTAGTGAGAGAAATTTTCCTGCGGTGCTTGGGTATTAGGTAGAAGGGGGCGAAAGGGACAGATCTTCTAATATATATAAGATTTGAAATTTGCATAATAAATATAGCATAATATCAAAGTGGCCAGACAACATGCTGCTGATTAGAAGAGACCTTCCCAAGTCAGGAAGGGGCCAAAACCACAGGGAAGATACAAACACACCCAGAGGCAGGAAGGACATCAAGAATGAATAGGTGTAGGTGGAAAGGGGAAGGAGAGATGGCAAGACAAGCTACCGTTAAGCTCCACCGGGGCAGGAAGCAAGCCTGCTTCACCTCTTTATTTAGTTATCGTCCACAACTGTTACTGATATAAGGAGTCAGAGAACAGAAAAGTGTGTTTTCAGACACACTATTACATAATTGTTATAACAGTTATGACCAGGATCAATGCTGTGAACACTTCCTAAGCATGAAAAGCAGGATGCCTGGACTCTATGTGACTGAGATCCACGGGGGCTCACTTACTGACTGGGTTAAGCAAAGACTAAAAGCCTCCTCTCCCCACCAACCCCGCCAAGAAACACAAGTTAACAGATGATGATAGTAAGGAACAGAATGGGCAGCGCAAGACTGGTGACACAGGGGACGTGACTGGGAGGCCGAAGACGCTTCGGGAGCGAGCGGCACTGAAGAGCTGGGAGAACAATTAACTTTGGTCTTCCAGCCTTGAGACAAAGCAACAGGGAGGAGGAACGAGCAGCCCCCACTCGAGGCCTGCCGGAGAAGTGGTGTCCTTGGGGCTGTGCCAGGTTTCAGTGTAGGCCAGGAGGGGTAAGGAACACTATGTGAAGAAACCCAGGCTCCAGAAGGCGGTGAAAAGGGGCGGGAGGAGACAGACCAGGAAGAAATGCACACAGCAACACCGGAGTGAGATCAGGAAGCTAGGAAACCTTGCATTTGGGTTACAAAGAAGCTAGGGATAAGAGAGTCATGGAAATCATTAAGGGCTGAGAAAGCTGAATCAGAATTCTGGAAGGAAACAGTATTGACATTAGTAATACCGGCTGAAGCGTTCTGACCATGAGTGTTAGCGACTTGTTAGATGTGTTAGAGAAACAACACAGTCTTACCGAGCGAGAGCAGGTTTCCATAACTGTCCATCACGACATCTCTATACAGGTTCCTCCGTGCTGGATCCCGATAATCCCACTCCTCCTGGGTGAAGAAACATAGCCACGCCCTCAAATGTCAGCAACTGCCGAAACAGTGATTTCGGTGGTCAGTTCCGGTTGTCTCAAGGCCAATTCTACCAATGCAAGTGGGAGAAGCTATCACTTACCATGGTCCCATTCACTAGGAAGACAAAGCAAGCAAGAGCATCAAAAGGTGACAATTCTTAGAACTGACAGGTACAGCCAGGCACCCTCAGACTGGAAAGGAACTGATCTGAACCCGAGCCTTCCAAACTGAAGGCCCTTCCGGGTTTAGATCTTACACAGTAATGGCACTACTATTTTAATTTTAGTTAACAGCCTCCAGACCTCTCCAAACTTCTCTCACCTCACTGTCCCTCTCTAATGGTCTACCCACACCAGCTTGTGACCCAATTCAACTCAAGTCCATTAGGTCCCTAAGCATCCACCTTGAGTTCGGACATCATGCCAGCTGCACAAGACAGAGGAGAGGGAAAAAAAAAAAAAAAAAGGGCCTCGCCTGGGAAATTCACAAATGAGAACTAACTTGGGGCAGTCTTAATTTTCTCCAGCCGACTTATCACATTGCTCTTGGAAGAAAAATAAAAAAGAGCCCGTGGGGCCGGGCGGTGGTGGCGCACGCCTTTAATCCCAGCACTTGGGAGGCGGAGGCAGGCGGATCTCTGTGAGTTCGAGACCAGCCTGGTCTACAAGAGCTAGTACCAGGACAGGCTCCAAAACCACAGGGAAACCCTGTCTCGGAAAAAAAAAAAAAAAAAAAAAAGAGCCCGTGGACAGTTTGCAAGTGAACTAACTGCACCCTGAAGGAAGGGGTACACGGGCGGTTGGCTGGGGTCCTCCCTTAGAGCTGGCTGCCAGCAGATGGGGACTGGGGACGAGGTGATGCGCGGCCTGGTCATCTTCGGGAGCGGCGAAATAACGGAGAGCTCTGGAAGGCGCAGCTCACCTTTGGCTCCAGCAGTGGGCTCGGGGTCGCCATCTCCTCGTTCCAGAATAGCAGCCACAGCAATGGGGCTCCGGTGAGGCCTAGCCGACCGCTGGAAATTAGGCCCCGCCAAGACGAGGCTCACTCGATGTGTCCGGTGAGGTCCTGCATCGGTCTCGGAGCGGTCACGTTCCTAGTGGCTTATCAGACATTGCGCCTGGCTGCAACTCCGAGCCACGTCTCCTGCCCGACTGTACAGTCTTTCAGGCCTCGCTGTAGTCTCCTTGTTGCCAATTTCTCCACCTCACAGTCTACAGTGCTACAACAGACCACCCCCTGAACCAGAAGGCGTCACCCGGAACGGTCACGGAACCTCTCCAACTACAACTCCCAATATGCACCGACAGCGCGCCACCGCCTTCTTCCGCAAATGGCAACTGGACTACGTTTCCCGGTGTGCACCGGAATAGGTCACCACGGGGACCGCTGCAGTAAGCTCGCATCTGATTGGCTGATCGGGTGTGTCAGGGAGGACGCCTGTCGAAGATGGCGGCGCTGTGTGTGTATCGGTTTGCTAGCAGAGGCTGGCTGTGGAACGGTGCCTTGGCTGCACGTAGGGACTTTTGGTCTCGATCCAGGTAAAGCTGAGGGTTTCTCAATGGGTTCCGTCCCACGAAAGTCGCCAGAAGCTGAGGGACGAGCTCAGAGGGTTAAGATGGGACGCTGGTCCTTAGCCTGCAGAAGTCAGCGTGGAGGAGGGGTCCGAGCGCAAAGCTTCGGCCCGCGTTTCCGCGACAGGCAGAGCCTCTCCTAATGGGAACACTTTTTCCTCGCTCCTTCCTTTCCTTAGTAAGCAGCAGCAGCAGCAACCACGTGTCAAAGGCACACTGGACGGATCAACCTAACATGTGAACCTAGGTCCTCAGTAAGCCACGCTCCTTGGCGGGGGTGTATGTGTTTAGCAAAATCAGAAATAAAGGCTCCCGCACAACGTTGTGCGTCTCTCCCCCACCACCGTGCTCGCTAGCGGTCCCTCCCCCTGCGCTCTTCCGCCCGCCTCTCCTATTTCATCGATACATACAACAAATAGTTTGTAAACGCCTTCCATTTCTCCAAGTCTCTTTTCCACGCCGCAGCACTGTGACTCGCGAGGGACCTGAGGACCACCGAAGAGGTGCACGCGCACGGTGGCTGTAGACTCCCTGCTTACCTATAGTTTTCCCCCACTGCATCATGTAGGGTCCATCTCTGATCTAGGTAACATTTAGGGCATGGAAACTTAACCGCTGGGACCTCAGGGACAACAAATATCGTAGGTTCGGATTTTGAGTCATCACCTCGTGGCTTTAATAGCTCTCATTTGGTTCGTGTCAAATGTCCCCAGTTCATGTTTCTGTTATTCACTCAGCAAATATTTTAGTGTCTGCTATATGGTAGATATTAAAGGTACAGTGGTTAATTAGATCAAATCTTTGATCTTGTAAGAGGGGAGCCGTTGATGTTCATTTTCAGTTACCTGTTCTGTAAGGTGTAAATAGATGTACTGATGTAAATATACATAGAGAAGAGATTTCTGCAGTCAGGCTAATTCCATCAAATGAAAACACAAAGATCACTGCTGTTTATTTATTGTCAAGCACCATAGTTCTGGGTAGAATTTTAAACCGTAAGGTATGATTTCTTCCAGGTTATTCATACTCAAGATTGCTACAGCTATTCATGATTTAAGGTTGCTCAATATAGCTTTGAAAAATGTCATTTGATTCTTTTTTTTTTTTTTTAGAAATTGGGTTAAATATGTTAAGTAGTGCAGACATATTAACAATATTGATAAAATAGTATAAAAAAACTGATTCTTCAGTCCACAAACATGGGATGTCTTTTCATTTATGTGTGTTTTCTGTTTCTTTCATCAGTGTTTTACAGTTTCCGGTGTGCAGATGATCTTTAACCAATTTGGTTATTTTTTTTCCTGAATATTTTCTTTTATTCCCTGCTATTGTAAACGAACTTGATTTCTTGATTTTCTTTTGAAATAATTTATTATTTCTCTAAAGAAACTATTGATTTTATTGAGGGTTTATTTTATTTATGTACATATGTGTATGTATGAATCATTCCCTTTGAGGCCAGAAGAGGGCATCAGATCCCCTGGGATTGGAGTTACAGGTAGCTGTGAGCTAGCAAGCTGGTGTGGATGCTGGGCTGCAGCAGCAAGTTCTCATAACACTGAGTCATCTCTCCAGCCCCAAAGTACTAACTTTTTTTTAAATGTTAATTTTGTATCCTGCAACTTTACTGGGTTGGTTTATTAGTTTTAGCAATTTCTTGTATGTGTTGCACAATCTGAGGTTTTCTTCTAAGAGACTTTTGTCGTCTGCAGAGACAAATTTATTTCTTTGTAACTTGGTTGCTTTATATTTCTTTTTCTTTTCTCGAGGCTCTTAGGTCTTCTAGTATGATGTTATAGTGTTTGCAGAGGTTGAGGCAGGAGAATGATGAGTTCATGGCCAGTGTACATAGGAAGGACTCCCCCCAAAAATGTCTGAGACTGAGCACCCTTGCTTGTGCCTCAGAAAACTGTATTGTTAATAGTTCTCCCTCTCCCCATTATGATTTTATCTATGGGCTTCTAAATTATATTTATCAGCTTGTGGTAGATTCTACCTATTTTGTTTAGAGCTTTGATCGTGGATGGAGGTTAGGCTTTGTGTCAGACACCTTTTCTGCTTTGGAGATGATTATTTGATTTTGTTACTGTGGCATATATTATTGATTTGTGTATATTGAACAGACTTTGCAGTACAAGCAAGTGTCCTATTTAGTCGGTATAGTCTTCTTTTAGGTGTTACTGAATATGGTTTGCTTCTATTTTATTGAAGATTATTACATCTCTGTTCATCAGAGAGATTGACTTGTAGTTTTCTTGTGCTGTCTTTGTCTGGCTTTACTATCCTGGTTTTATAAAATGAATTTGAAAGTATTTCTTCTTCCCATTTTAGGGAGACCTAATGTCAGAGGGCTGACATGAGTTCTTTTTTGAATGTTTTATCACATGGAGATACTGGATTCCAATCTTTATTTGGGATTTTTTGCTGTTTTGTTTTTCTTCAGTCCCTTATTTGCTGTTGACTGGCTTTAGCTTTCTACTCTTACTTGATTAGAGCTACATGTCCCTAGGATTGTAACTGCTTAGTAGAATGGCCCCCTCACACACGGCAAGGAACTGTCCAATAAAAAAATGAGAAGATATTTGGGACTGAGAAGTTCAGATCTTGTAAGTGAGGTAGTGTATAATCAAAATTGAAACTTGTATAGGATGGGATACAGTGGGCAGTGTAGACTGCTGTGAAGATCAAGGGGACTTAACATTTGATTAGGGTGTCAGGTTAAAGTTCTTAGGACTTACAGGGTAAGCATAATTTCCATAAGTAAAGATATATCAAAAGGATATATAACCTGAGCTAACAAGTGTCAGGAAAGTGGAAGTGTGTTTGGAAAACAGAATATAGTTTAGTTTGTATAGGCCTGTAATGTATATAAGAAATTGGTGGGAGGTAAATTTAGGGATAGCTCTTGGAGGCTATGTTGACTAGTTTTATGTCAGATTGATACAAGTTTTAGAGTCATTTGAAAGAAGGAGCCTCAAGTGAGAAAATGTCCCTACCAGATTAGCCTCTGGTACATTTTCTTGATGGAAAATTGTGGGAGGATCCATCTCACAGTGGGTGGTGCCACCCGTGGGCAGGTAGTTCTGGGTGAACCATGGAAGCAATGCAGTGAGCAGCAGCCCTTCGGGGCCTCTGTATCAGTTCTTGCCTCCAGGTTCCTACTTCCTACTTTGAGTTCCTGCTCTGACATCCCTCAGTGATGAACTGTGATACGGAACTATAAGATAAAATAGACCCTTCCCTCTGCAAGTTGCTTTTCGTCATGGTGTTTTATCACAGCAATAGAAACCAAACTGAGACAGAAGATTAAGGCTCCTAGATAGAACAGTTTGCTTTATCTTTGTTCTTTACTTATTTTTAGAATTCTTACAAGTATGTAAAATATATGCTAAACTTTCGTTTTCTTTTCTAAAAATTGATTCAACTGTATGTGTCTGATGGTAGGTGACCATTCTATCTTTTCTGCTCTCCACTTGCTCAGAAAGTCTCAAGTACAGAATATTTGATTTTGATTGCAAGGCAAGATTCAGTCCAATGTTTATTAGCTTCATTAAGATCACCAGCCAAAGATTCACATGTTTGCTTTTGATCATTCCAGAAAGGAGAAGGAGCCAGTGGTGGCTGAGGCGGTGGAAGAAGTGAAGACAGAACCTGTTTTGGTGTGTCCGCCCTTACGAAGCCGAGTGTATACACCTCCCGATGATCTCCAGAGTCGCTTGGAATCCTGTCTTAAAGAAGTTCTTGGTTCATCTCTTCCTAGTAATTGGCAAGACATCTCCCTGGATGATGGTCATGTGAAGTTCAGACTCTTGGCACGTTTAGCTGATGACTTGGGCCATGCAGTGCCTAACTCCAGGCTTCACCAGATGTGCAGGGTCGGAGACGTTCTTGACTTCTATAATGTTCCATCAGTTCAAGACAGATCTAAATTTGATGAACTCGTTGCTGGTAATTTGCCTCCCAATTTGAAAATCAGTTGGGGTTACTGAGCAGGTCAGCAGTTGACTGCATTGAGATGTTGTACTCTCCTCACTGAGGTGGCCGACAAACCTTGTGAAGTGTTACCCTTCAGAACTCTTCTCAAACCTCCCTTTACTTTTTTGTTTTTTCCTATAGAAGAATACATCTTTTTTCTTCATGGAGAATCAACAAAGAAAACATTTTCACATTTGCTAAGGCTATTCCCCCAGCCCCCAATAAAATCAAGTTTTGGTAATTTATGTAATGTTTCTATTCTGATGTTTAAGATAGGAGGGCATCTCAAGTTCAGATGTTTCTTTGTCCGCTATATGGATAAAGTAGTAGTTGCAATAAAATATTCTAATCTTACTAAAGCTCATAGGTGTGGGATTGTTATGGATATGCAAATGAGGAAGTGTGTTAGATAGTTAACGGAACGTCTGCTATATATAGGATGTTTCACTGTGCTTAGTCCATGATTAAAGATGAAAGAAAGTACACTGTATTCTGGGTTCACCTCTTGGATTAAAGCAGATTCATTAAAGTCTGTTGTCTTTACTTCTTGAAATTTACTTCATTGTATCTATTATTTTCTTAAAATGAGTAATAGAACTGAAAAAAAAGACCATCTCACAACTATTAAGTTTTAAAGTTATTACCAGATTCTATATTGCATATTCTCAAAATGAAGCATATCTCAAACCATCTTTTCTATAACCTTAAAGGTGGC